GGGGCATGTTAGAGAAAGGGAGTGGTCATTGTAAACCATTTAGCGCTGTGTGCTCTGTATCATGTTGCCATGAGAAAGTGATATTTGATTGGCTCATAAAATAGGTTTAGTAAATCCTTTCAGTACTGACGTGAGCAAATGGGCACGTTGGAAATTAATACCTGAGAGTGTATTATAAGGATTACTATGTCTCCAGAATAGTCACCTGGGCATGTGCAGATTTCTGCATTTAAAGATTATTATGCTTTGTGATTCCACTTTTATGTGTCAAATGTTACTTTGTTTTATTATCTTCTTTTCATTTTGCTAAAGCCTGCAATGTCTTTTATCATTGTTTTCTCTCCTCAATTTCTTCTTAATGTTTTGAGTATGTTATAGTATATCAAACAGCCAGCTTCTGCAATGAACCCCATATTTTACAAATGACATTCTGTCAGGAAAAGGAAAATTCAAATTATTAGGGAAGATGATTGGATTTAGCGTGCTAGTCTTTTTCCAACCACACTGTATTTTCTCAGACATTTTAAAAGGAAACATGGACTCAAGCAGCAGTGGTTTTTGCTCCATTCTGTTTCTTATTTTTTTCTGTTTTGAACATTAGATAGCACAATAGGCATGGGGGTGCTTTCCAGGTAGATCTTTACTTGGTCTACTTTGTATGATCTGGAGTATGAAGTAAAAAATAATGTGATTTTGTCATCATATCCTTTAGCAAGGGGATTCACTGTTTTTAATAAAAGGGAAATCTAAGCCTTAGTAGATAATGGCATTATTAATATTTTTCAATTCCATATACATCTATACAGTTGTTGGGTATGACCATAAATATTAATGGTAGAATAATTGGATGAAATTTAGAATTATATTGTTATATGACACCACTTCTGAAAAAAATCCTAAAATGCCTAGTTTACTATGGAACAATGTGTAGCACATGTTAAGTTCTACTGTTTCATAGGCAAAGAGCATAGTACTCTTTCAGATGTCATTTAACCTTCAAGGGGTGCAAAACTATGTAGGTTTTTAAAGCAGTATGGTAAATGTATGCACCAGACTTGAATGAGCATGTAAGAATTAGCTGCCAGCTGTCTAACTGCAAATCTAGAAATTGTTATAAATGTTGATTTTTTTTTCAAATGGCATCAAAACCAGTAGAAAATCTTCACGAAAAATGTAATAATGTACTTGTCATTCTTACCTAATTTGCAAGACAGCAATTTTTGTGTCAGGATTATAAAGTAGACAAGGCCACATTTAGGACTTATTTGTTCCAATAAATCCTTAACATTTGTAATCCAGATATTTCCATGTGTGATTAAAAGCCTCTTTGAGATACTTCTGAAGAGCTTACAAATTAAATAAACACAGTAGTAATTTTCTTTAAACAGAAATAAAGAAATATACAGTAAAATAGTTATGTGAGTCAGTTGCATATGATAATCTTTTAAGATGCTTCTATTAGAAAGATTATCGTCATTATTTTGAAAATGATGTGAAGAACATTTTGGGTGCTGTGTGTTCTGCTCAATCAGTTTATTGAAAACGACTTCATCCTTGCCAAATGCAAAGGCTGCTTTTCGCTTTCATCTCCTTTGATATTCCTTTCCTTGGCACTTGGCCACCGTTGACCAGTCCTGCTTCTGGTGCATATTCTCCTGTAACTCTGTGTTGTTTTCCTCCTGTTTCCATGATTTCTCCTTTTCAGGATGTTGTTGTCAAAGGATCTTTTCTTTCTACTCACGTTTGAGATGTTACTGTTTCCCGGCATCCCTCAAGCATGTGATGGTCCTGTGTCTCCGCCACTCCCTCATTGACACCTCCACGCTGTGCCTCATTATGCTGCAAGGGTGGCAGACTTAGATGTCCCCATGAACAAACAATGTAAATAAATGAATATCTGGGTATTAAAAAAAAAGTATAGAAAATAGGAATTTTTGGAAATGAACAATAGCAGGTTCCATCAAAAGCTGTTTCCACTTGGCCCCCAGCTCAGTGGCTATGAAAGAATGAAGGCCCAGTGATCACTCCTTCATTCACCAGAATCTGATACAGTATTGTACTGTGTGCCTCACCTGTAGGTGCTGGAGATAAAACAGTATATTAAACAAAGATACCTCCCCTCCTGGAGCTGATACGATTCTAGAGATCTGAACCCTCATAGAGTCACACAGTAGGGTTAATGATATTAGTGTTACCAGATCTTCAAATTAAAAAAACAAAAACAGAAATACATATTTTTCTATACAATGCCACTTTTTAAAATATTAACTTAATTTTTTTTAAGAAACATAGAGCCTATTAAAACGGTGCTTACCTGTTTGTAACAGTGGCCTGCAAAACAATATTCTAACATCTGACTCTGAAATACTAAGGCCTTGCCTACACCTATTTCTCCAGCTTGATCTCCATGCACTTCTTCGTTTCCCACCCTCTATTCATAACTGATGGTGCCTGGCGCCTTCTTTCTTCTATTACATCTTACTTATTGTACTTCTCGCTAGAATGCATCTCCATTTCCCGCCTTTTCACCCCTGCTCACTCAGTGCTCACTGACAGCCCAAATGTTCCTTTGTAAACTGACCCTAAGCTCACTGTATAGAGTTACTCTTACTCTGCCAGTATTCCATAGTATTTCCTACATTCTCTCATTAAAGCACTCAGCAAAGTGTTTTATGGACCCTGAACCCAAAGAAGCTGTAGTTTCATCATTATATCCTGAAAATCAAGCATAACATTTTGCACCAAGTCAGTGCTTCATAAATACTTGCAGAATAATTGACCAGACCAGGAATCTGGCTCTCTTCAAACTAGCTAGCATTGATAGTAACCTACATCAGATGGGGTTACCTCCCTAGCATGGAACAGATAGCCTATGAATAAAAGCTTTGTTTCACATGTAAACAATTTTGATATAAAAATTGTGCTTTGATTTAAAATCGTAGTTATCAACTTTTGCACCTGGTGTATCTGAAATAACTACTTAGGTCTGTTCTACCCAATTCCTCTTACTTCTGACCCCTCCTCTTTTGGCCCCACCACACACATATACTGATATTCCTGGAATGGTAGTACTGAATGGTTTATGCATTTATAATTTGTAACCCTGGACTTGTCACATAATATAGCAGAAATATTCTCTCCTCTTTATATTTGACTTTTCTTACTGCTTTCAGACTCCCAAGTTTATATTAAAATTACATGTGGGAGTTGGGACAAGAGATGCTGGATAGAGATGAGGGACAAACTTACTAAGTGGCAACTGTGCCAACAGTATTTTAGGCAGTGCATATCTTTCCTTTCTTAAACATCCCTGTGAGTTAGGTAGCATCATCTTCAATTTAAGGGTGAGGAAAATGAGGCTGAAACAGGTTAAGTAACATAGCGTAAGAGAGTTCTGGATACTTCCTTAGTGAAGACTCAGTAACTAAAATTAGTTCATTATAGACTTTGCCCTTTTTCAACAATGTTTTCTTCTGTAAATTCAATACTGTACAAAATATATGCTTTTTAATTGTCTGGTATCTGAACTTAGACTTAAAAAAAAATATGCCAATGATTTTCAACCTTGCCAGACCTCCCTTTTAAGGAAAGTTTTACAATGTCCTCTTTAGTATTTTGAAATGCAACTCATAGTAGTGATCATCTATTTATATGCACAATTGTTTGAAAAATAAATGTAATGACCTGCATGCTACATAAAGCTGAAATAACAAATAATTTGTATTCAAATAATTTATTTCAGTACATAATTACACATGTACAATTACACTAGAAAAATAAAGGCAGTAGTCAGATGTTTGCATCTTTTAAGTAGACTGGTGAATGTAACAGCTATAAACATTGCCTGATATGCTTAGGTTTGTTTTCATTGTGATACAAACAGGTTCAGCAGTGCTCCTGTTAGTATGTTTTTCCAAAATAGTAACTCTGGTAAAATTTCGAAGAATGGAAACTTCCTTCAGTTTATTTGATAGTTGAATTTATGGAAATTTTGGCTTAAACTAAAAGTGCAAAACACATTTATGTTTGCAGTGGTAACAATGCTAGGTTTCAGACTCAGACGAATTATAGCAAAAATGTTGCGTACGTGAACGTCCAGTGAACTACTGCAGAGGCCTGGAGGATGTGGGGCAAATATTCACTTTCGTGACTTTCATTTGAACATCTAGGGACCTTGCCCTCCACATTTCCTAGAGCCATCCACAGCTCAAGTCATTGAGAAACCTAGAAAGCCTCTACAAATTTCTAAAACATTCTCTTAAGGGGCAATACTGGTCTAAACCTTCCAAACCAAAGTTCACATTTGTTGGAAAAATACTAAGCATGTAGCCCTTATGTTTAAGATACTGTGTGTCCACGCAGTGTGAAAGAGAAGTATATAAGGACTGATTCCTTTCTTCAAGCCTAGGAAGGTGGGTCACTCACATATATATATAGTTGAAAATATGTGTTGATCGACAAGAGAAAGATGACGGTGAGCTGAGACTGAAAGGAAAAGCCTCACAGAGGCAGGGCGCTACGAAGTGAGAGCCGAAGGCTGTGTAGATAATTAAGTGGCTCCAGAAAAGCTTTCCTCACAGATGAGGAAAGGGAGCCAAGGAGTCTGACACCAGTGAGAGGTCCTGTCAGGAAGTAGTGGACAATCATAATAGAAATTAAGATGGGAATAAAATGTTTCTGTCCAAATGGAAATTAAACTGAATGTCAGACAGTGATTGCCTCATAGAAAATATGTAAATTTTCAGATGGATGTTTAGTGAATTTGGAGTTTATTAACTCTAAAAGTGGAGGGTGTAGAGTAGAACTCATATTTCTTTCATTGAAAATGCATCTTCAGTGGTGTCCTTTCTTTGGAATATTTTATTACTTTAACCACTTAAATTTGGGATGAACTTATGGCTGTGATTCCTACATGCATTCATTGCATCCATGGATGTGGAATTTGAGTAGCTAAAGTAAGCAGAGCATGACTGAATGTCTTCTCTCTTTGTCTCTTACAGGTATGATTTTGTAGAAGTTGAGGAACCCAGTGATGGAACTATATTAGGGCGCTGGTGTGGTTCTGGTACTGTGCCAGGAAAGCAGATTTCCAAAGGAAATCAAATAAGGATAAGATTTGTATCTGATGAATATTTTCCCTCTGAACCGGGGTTCTGCATCCACTACAACATTGTCATACCCGTAAGTACCACTTAGAGTTCCCCTTATATCACTGGGTTGGTTATTGGTTTACTTTTTTTCCCCCTTTTTAGATAAGAGAAGCAGGAAAAACAAACTTTTTCCTAGCTTGAATTTTTTTTTCATACGTGTCACTCTTTTCACAGTTGTTTTAACACAAGTTATCACAAATACCTTGAATTTTATCACTGTAGATCATTATCTGTGTTAAATATCAATATGAGATAAAATAGGTTTTTTTACAACAGTTAGGAAATGGTAGCATATCTGTCAATCAGCAGCTCACTGTGTGGTATCTCAGTGTTGATGGGAAATTATCTAGGGTAGATAGCATTTTCTCTTGAAAAAATAGGGAAATTATGCATTTATTACTCTTACCACTTCGCTCACCATCAAAATTTGGGCTATATAATGTCTTCCTGATTTAATTTTAATTTTGAATTAAATAATAAATGATAAAATACAATTTTAGTGTTCTAGGATTTTTGGTGACCCTTTCTTACAGGATATTATTGCATTTGCTTAATGTTACTCTTATTCTAAAGATGTAAATTTTGAAGCTTACACAGGACTGATGACTCTTATTTTCAAATGAATATATTTATATATATTTTGGAATGAATATCTTGTAGAGCTGGAAAGCCAGCACTATTTGACATTAATACTGTCTGAACTAAATGCGTGTCTCTATTGCTGTGTAAGTCCATATGCCCTTTTGTGATGTTTTACCTTTTTCCCTCATTAAGGTGACGTTCCTTTTCTGTTCCTGCCAAAAATTTATTTTTTAGATGTGTTGTATACAAATATGTACATAACATTTCTCTTTTTACCTTTTTCTGTAGGAAAATAAACTTATTACCTGTTAATTCTTTCCAAATCAATGCTTTAGTAAAATACGTTTCAAAAGTAGTTATCTCAATTTTCCCACTTAATATGTATCGTGCTTGAATATTATTCATGTCCCTGTGCTCCAAAAAGGAAGTTTTGAAATCCTCACTGGAATTTAAGAAATCTACCTATTTTGTCTAATTATAATTGTTATTGTATTTTCACTTGTATCATGATTGCTTGTACCCTTCATGTACTATTTCAAACTTGTATCTATTTGTTGCAGACAAAACAAAAATGTTGAAAACCCTTTTGCTATTTTTTATCACATTCTACTTTTACTAGTAATACTTTTACTAGTACTTAGGAAAATATTGATCAGTATTATCACCATTTAAAGTAATATAAAAATTGATTTTGATAGGAGATTTAGCAAATCAGTAGGCACATTTTGAACACATCATGAGGTGGACTACCTGAATTAACATATATGCTTTACTAGTACAAAAGTAATGCACAAAGTAAGCTACCAATTCTTGAGGCAAATTAGAAAATATAGAATTGATATTTAAATTTATATATTATATTCATACAGTAGTGAGCAGAAATTTTCTTTTTTTAATTGCCCAAACTGAAGTCTATGGAACATTATTTAAGCAACTAATTAAATTAAGAGATTTAAATATTGAGTTAATAGCTAAAAAAGAAACAATAAAATGCTAACTGAAATTTGAAAATAATAATTATTAATTTAGTAACAATAGAATCATTTATTATGTACAACTGAAAACAGATATCTCTAAAACATGCTGTAAATTTATATTGTGAAATCTTGATCAATTTCCTTATATAGATTAAGATACTCATATCTCTTCCTTTTATGAAATACTATTTGCCCGTGTAGGTTCCTTACCATTTCCTTTATTAATTGCCAAAGTTTTCTTAATTCTTTAGTATTTTTTATTTTAATTTAATAAAATTTAATAATTTCACCTAGAAATGTAAAATGTTAATAATAGGCAAGATGGACTTTTTTTTAAACACTATTGATAGGTAATAACTTTCATACTGTGATTATTTGTTTATATAAAGACACTAAAAATCTGTTTAACACACTTGTACAGTAACTTGCTTCACAGCAATTATGAGTTTAATTTTTCTTTTTTAAGTCTAAGATGGCCTTGGGAGCCATGGCTGTACTTCCATGAAGTTGTACGGTCCCCATTCTCAGTTTGGGTTTTTAGCATACCTAATACTCTTAAATGTTTAAATATGAAACAGTTATATTTTTCCATTAAAACATAATGATATGTCATGTATTACAGCAAAGGTTGTATTTATACCAAACCTGTGACAAAAATGAACTTGAAATTGAGAAGTTACTTATATTTTAAATGAGCTATTCTCTTCATATTATATTGTTTAAATATGTATAAATAGCAATCTACTCTCATGCTACAGAACAGGGCATGAGAACTAAAGTGTACATATGCCCACACCAAGAGTTGACTTTTCCTGATTTTGTGGCTACGTGGGTTATCTGGTTGGATAACCCAAGTTATGTGGTTAAATAAAATATATAAAGATAAAAACACAGGAGATTTTCAGTGCCTAGATGAATTCTGGGTGCATTATAGGTTCTCAGTAAATACTTGAATGCTTGAATCAATCATCCAACTCATTGTCACTGACACTTGTATTTATTGGTAAGTGTGTGTTAGACTGATGACCCTTGAGACTGAGGTGAGATTGAGAACTGTAAGGATCTGCTGTATCACCCATCCTTTTGACTAAAGGCCCTGCTGCTTGGCTTTTACCCATTATGAGATTTACTATGACTTAAGACCAGAAACTGCGTCTGAGAGACTTTTGAAGTGTGTATCACTGGTTACATAGTTAAAATTAAAGTCAGTACATTTTTGAATAATTACTGAAATAATTTGATAATTGGACTTTGATGGGCTAAGAATTGCCTCTCTTGGTATCTATTGAACCATGTTTCGTATGGCAACTAAGTTAACCTCTGACGGGCTGCAGAAAATGGAGATATGTAGACAAATAGTACAGAAGACCTTATATTAACTTGTTATATGCTTAGGAAAACAATACACTTCAGGCTGGAAGAAACCAGAACACATGATGGTAGTTTCCTATATTGCCTACCACGTATGGCTTGGTGATTTTAATTTTGTTAGGTTGCTTTTTGCAATGATTACTGACACATGAATTTTACAATCTCAGAAACTTTGCTTGTTTTGGGTTTAAATTTACTCTGACAATTTATCTGCCACCTATTGTCTTGCTTCCTCTCCCATCTTTTGTCTTGGTTCTCTGTATCCATCTGTCCTTCCACACAACCACACTCATTCTAGCCTTGGTAGCTGCACAGAAGGGCGAGATTTGATGAATGAATATTTGACAAGTGGTTTTGCTTTTAAGCCTCGCAGAGGGTTTTGAATCATCATTGAGTGTTACTGAATGACATCCCTCCTTCCTCGTCTCTCTGCCCCCAACCCCCTACATTAGTAGCGTGGCAGCAGCCCATCAGTCTTACCTGTGTGTCAGTGAATGAAAGCCGAAAGAAAGAAGTCTAGCTTTTGGAGAGGAGACTTCAAAGTTCTTGTGGCATTTGCTCAGGGGCAAGTCCCCCTCCAACTCCCTGGATCATCTCTGATATTCTTTTGTCTTTTTTGCCTGGGATAAATTTCATAATTGGCACACCCAGTTCCCCGGAGGCAATGGTCTTGCTGACTGCAAGCACAGCAGTATGACCTTAGGAGCCACTAGCCACCATGGTTTCTAATTTTCTAATGATAAAAATGTTATTAGCCACAAGTCCTTAGTTGATTATTAACTTCCCGCATTGAGGTTTGTTACTGAGTGTCTCGCACAATGCCAGAACCATTGCAGCTGCTCATTCATATCTTCCAGAAATTCAGCCATTCCCCCTTAGAGGTGCCTAAACCGGAGAGGTTCTGCACTAACTTCTCATTTACTATTTGCTACTTTTGTTGCCGTTGCACAGTGGTGATGATTCATAAACTAGAAAACTGGAGAATCACACTTAAACCACCACGTATTTTCCTGGTCCTGATATATTAGGCTCTGTTACCAAGGAATCATTCTTGTCCTACTTGAAGAATGAATTGGTTTCTTTTTTTCTGTTTTGGGGTATTTTTGTGTGTGTGTGTGTGTGTTTTTTTTTTTGCTTCTGTTTTTGGTTTTGGTGAAGAGTGGAGCATCCAGGGTAAAGAAATTAGTGCATACTTACTACATTGTACCCATCTATGTATATACAGAAAAATTTGAGTTTAATCACTTTTTTTTTTCCTGGGACAATTACAAGAAAGTTTATGTTAATTTTTTTTTATTTTTTGCTAGCAAGAGAGATAATTGTGAAGCCTTCTTTGGAATGTGAATGGGTATTTTATTCAAGTCAGCCTTTAAGACCCCATTATTCTGATTACTATGTATCTTAGCAATAGAGTTTTAATACGCTAGTTAAAATTCTCAGTTTTTGCCACACATGTTGACATTAAAAATCATGTTCACTTTTATAAAAAGATGATTTACCCACTCATTTTCTCTGAACTGATGAATAAAAGAACATATAGTTGAACAAGGGATTTATTATTTTGAATGAAGTGATTTAATACTTAAAGATTTTATATATATCTTACATATACATGTACTTTCCCTTGTAATGTTATGATTTCAGTATCATTTTCTTGATTTCCCAATATTTTAGAATAAGATATAAATAAAATTTGTCTTTCCATTTTACTATTATAAGTTGATATTAAAGGCTAAGTTTTACTTAGAAAAGAGTTTAGCATAAGATGTTTATCTGAAACTATAGCTAATTGTAGCTTCAAAAAAAAGTACTAGAAATACTATATAAGTTTGAAAATATATTTTAATATGACTTTCAAAAATTATTTATCAAAATATATATTCCCCAGTCATGCCCCATTAACAATGAAAAATGCCCATCCATGCAGATTGATGCCAAATGATATATATTCAGCTTTTATGATTGTGCATAAGGAGTTAATAATGTCTTTGATTTTTTTTCTCTTCATGCTAAAAGAGGAAAAAAAAAAAAGGCCTGGTAGATTAGCAGTGAGAGATTGTTTGGGAAGAAATGAAGCAAAACTGAAATAAAACAGTGCAAG